TTAGTCACAAAGATCTGCCTGTCCTTGCTTTCTGTGAGCTGGGATTAAAAGCTTGCTGGACCACACACAACCTTTTTGAGAAATTTTATGTGGACATGGTAATAAAATTATGAGGTCATACAGGAATATTAATTTATATAAGAAGCATAGACTATGAGATTTCCAATAAAATGTGCCCCAAAAGTACATTTTATTTGAAAGTACACCACTTTTTAATGGATTTTTAGCCAAAGAGATTAATATTGGGAACTGGAGTGATGGCTCAGTAGTTAAGAGCATTTATTGCTCTTGCAGAGGACCTGAGTTTGGTTTCAAGCACGTATGTTGGTGGCTCACAAGTACCTGTATCTCCAGCTCCATGGGTTCTGATGCCACTGACCTTAACAAGCTTCACAGTCATGTGCTGCTCACCTCCACAAAATGGTAAAAAAGAAAGAGAGAAAGGAAGAAAGAAAAAGAGAAAGAAAGAAAGAAAAGAATCTTTTAAGAATAAATATGAGATCAATATGCCCTAAATGTTCATATTATAGTTAATTTTGGGTTATTTTTGTGACAAACAGCTTTCATTTGTCTCTGACAAACTTCCCATATACATGTGTTTTCAAAGCAAGCACTCTTACTCACAGAGACATCTCTCCAACCCCTAATAAGATCTTTAAGTTTATACTTCTAAACATGTTATGTGCTAGGTGAATCATACATAGTTAGCCATTTAATTCTCTAAACAATTCTATTAAATTGATTAGTCATTGTGTTCAATTTTACATTAAGTCATTTGCTAACAGAGAATAATGCAGACTCCCAGACAAAGTCAAATTTCGGATCTAATCAGAACATTATTCAACTTAAACAATGCTAATGAATATGGGATGGTTTTTTATTTCACGTATTTTTTTATTCCATTTCCCCAAGCCTAGTGTATGGGGTTGCATAGAGGAGCAATGAATTTAAAACTGAATGTCTAGTATTCAGCAGATAAAGTCTAGTAAGCAGCAGATAAAGGTTGCATTTCATCCACACACAAACAGCAAAGCCAATCCTGAAAAAAGGGGATAGCTTTAGGCATGAAATCTAGGGCTCAGAGAATAGCTGCTTTCACACAGATGGGTACACAGTCTTATTTTCTTCTTAGAAGATATTGGTTCGTTATCTATGCCTCTTCCACCTCATGTTATCCATCACCAAAATGAAGGTCTGAGACCTGCCTCCAGATCTTATGAGTTCAATTTGATAATACATGACCAATAGTATAGTGTGTGTGTGTATGTGTGTGTGTGTGTGTGTGTGTGTGTGTGTGTATTCATCACAATGTCTGCCAGTGATGTGGCATTGTTATGTATGCCATAGCTCTAGGTGGAAACTACAGACATATATGAAGATACAAAAACTTAGGCATGAATATAATGCACAAACCAGGGTAATGGCTTTAAATAATCATTTCTTTTATTTTACCTTTTTTTTTCTGGAGCTGAGGACCAAACTCAGTGCCTTGCACTTGCTAGGCAAGTGCTCTACCACTGAGCTAAATCCCCAACCCCTAAATAATGCCTTCTTAAATTTAGGAAGTTATTGACAAAACAATAAAAATGGCATTCGGCATATTCAGTCTTTTCACTGGTGATGAACCTGCTAAACATAACTAATTTAAGTTAGTTTAACAGTTTCAGTAAGCTTAAATGATGCATTTCCTCTCCAAGAAAAGAACTACCATGATAATTTATGCATTTGTTTAAGCAGCATTCTCACCCTCTGAATTATGGATTTTTTTGGCATTAACAATTTCTTGTCATGAGGTACTGTCCTGTGCACTATGGTGTTCTCCATTCCTAACTCTCTTCTCCATTCCTAACTACTAAATACCTGAAGCGACATTCTTTCCTCTACACAACCTTCTGCTGACTTAAGATAAACCAAATGTCAATAGGCATTACCAAATGTCACCTGGGGGAAAATATGTCCCCTGAACAATCACTATTGGAGTAGAAAAATCAGACTTACAGTACAAATGTTTTTTTTAATCCACAAAGTTATAAATATGTAGCATTATGTGAGGGAGAGGGAACCGTGTATTTTACATACATTGGTATGTAAAATGGTATTTTATGCATTTGCAATCTCTGAGATGATTTTCATGCTTAGCAGCACAGTTTAAATGCAGTTTCACTCTGGACCACAGCATAGATAGGCCTGTAAAATACTACCTGGCATATCTATGATGTAAGATAAAGATGTCTTATGAACTCAAGCTTTTAAAAGTCATTGAAAGTATGTAATCTTGCAAATTTTAGGTACTATATTTCTAAAGAATGTTATAGAGATTTATATTGGGATTACATTGAATCTGCGAATGGCTTTGGTAGAAGGGTCATTCTCTCAATGTTAATCCTACCAATCTAAGAGCATGGGATGTCTTCCCATATTCTCAGTCACTTTCTTCAAAGATTTAGTTTCAATTTCAGAGGTCATATCATTTAATGACTATAGAATGCCAATCTCACAGAAATACATTGATATATCCGAGGTCAGAGAAAAGAGTTTGGAATATACATTAATAGTATATTGATTTGGTCACATCCATTTTCTATGACTTTCAATCAAGTTAGTGCAAGAGCACAGCAGGAATTTCCATCAATCATGTGACCAAGAGAAATAAATGAAAAATGATAATTAATGATTGGCATTGATGAACACTTTAAAGATGTGATATGTGCCTGATATGGAGAATAGCACAAGGTAAATGGAAAGCAAGAGGTCTAAGACTGTGTCTTTGACCTGGAAACATCCAGAGCAAGACAAGTTTTGGACCAAAATTAGTGGTACACTCTTGCAACCTCAGCTCTTGGGAGGTAGAGACAGGATTATCATTAATGTAAAGTCATCCTCAGCTACACAGTGCAATTGTGGTCAACCTGAGCTGTCAAGACCCTAATACAAAAGAATAACAAGTGGGGAAGGACCAACCAAAGAGACAAACCAACACAAAGAAGCTTAAAAAGAGAGATGGAAAGGATGTGAATGACTATTTCAGTGTGATAAAGAACTCAGTCACCCTTATAACGGTGAATGTAGAAAAATTTTACAAGGCAGAGAGTAATATGAATTTCCATCTGTTGTCTTGGGGAAGAAATGCTCATTATTTTTCTAAACAAATGATTCTGAAAACTTGGCTGCTAGTCTGACAACATCAGAATCACTGGAAAACTCATTAGAAATGTAAAATCTAAGGCCTTTACCATGATCATTAAGTCACAGAAAGTAGATTTGAAGCCCCACATTCCGATTTTTATATAAAGTTTTCCATCCTTCCCTTTTTCCTCCCTCGCTTCCTTATTTTCTTCTCTTAATTTGGCATAGGCTCTCCATCTGCCCAAACTAACCTCAAATTCCTAGGTCCAAGTTATCTTGTCTTGGCCTCCTGAGTATCTTGGCCTGCAGTTGTACACCAACACCTAGCTACTATGTCGTGTGCTTCTGATGCATGCACAAATTTGAGGACCACAACTAACAACCAGTGTTTTCCAAACAGTGACCACTTGGTCTCCAAGGGATATTAATGTCTGCAAATTCTTCCAGTTATCAAAGGATAATGGGAGAGAGGGAGATAAGTCAGTTGGTGAAGTGCTTGCTGTGTAAGCACGAAGACTTGAGTTTGGATCCTCAAGACCCATGTAAAATGTTGGGTACAGCAATGCCTACCTGTAATCATAGTGCTGGAGAAGAAGAGGTAGGAGGATCCTGGGATCTTGCTGCTCAACCAATCTAACTGAATTGACAAGGTCCAGGTTTAGTGAGAGATAGTCTCAAAAAGTTGGGAGTGGAGTGCAATAGAAGGCACACACTATGTGTACACACACACATACACACGGTGGGGAGACTAGAAAAAAGTCATGGAGCATGCTACTCACACCATATGAGTAGGGACCTGGCAAGCATCCTAACCCCAATCATACCATACAATATGGGGTCATATAGTCACTGTTACATGTCTAAGGTGCTAAAACTGAGAAACCCTGCTCTCAATTGAACCTCCCGTGTCTTCACTTTCCAAGAAATTAAACCTCAGCCATTACTTTGGACTTGGTGGTATAGGACTGGATGTCCACTTCTATAACATTAACACCAGGGTAGAGATGAAAAGGAAGGATATCATTTTAATTACAGAGCACTCTGCTGTCCCTGTTGCTACTGGGACAAAGAACTGTCCTAGCAAACATGTCCCAACTTAGGAGCTCTCTCCTGCTCTTCCCAGCAACAACATGCTTTCCCATGACATAAACTGTCTGTGCTTAACATGCTAAGGCACCAGAAGATATGTGACAGTAAGTGTTCTGACTGGGCTTCTCTGTCATCAGCTCCTTCCTGGGTGCATCTATATTTTACTCTCCATAGCTTATCACTTGCTCTCCTTAGCATAAAACTTGTGCAACCAGCCACATACTCTATTTATTCTCACTGGGTTGCAGTAGATTGGGAAGTCAAGTTTTTGAAAGTCACATTGCTTCATTTTCTTGGGGCTAAGAGGGAACTGGAAAATCAAAGTTAGGCTTTTCCTTGTTATCTTCCTTTGCTATTTTATGTGTATTTTGTTTAATCTGATAAACTGTATGATTCATGTTTAATGTATTTAATATAAAAAAAGCAGTCAGCAAAGGAGTGGCTACTTTCTTAAGACCTGATGAAAATACACTTGCTGATTACTGAAGGAAAAGCCATAGACAGAGAGGAATAAAGCACAGAAGCCAGAAAACATTATTTCATTATCACTAGCAAGGTTGCAGAAGTCTCCAAGTTGTGTACTAGTGCTTCCATGAGGAACCATTTGGAGCTTTGTGTAGTTGATAAAGGAGTGTCATTTAGATCCAGGAAGAGTTCAATACAGAAGGGCATAGACTTTCTTCAGATCATGAACTTAAGGGAGTCTAAGAGCAATCTGATGAGCATGAACTATGGCATATCTGTCAGCCATTCACACTGCTTCTCCAGAGTACAGACAGCACCAATTCTTTGCATCTGGTTTCCATTTATTTTCTTTTTGGTCACCTTTATTCTTTGTCTGCCATCCAATTACATCCCCAGCCCCCCACAACACCATCTTGTGTTCAAGGCCAGCTTTACACAGGCACACACTTCCATTGGTTCCAGGCGCTGGGCATGGTGAGATGATGCAGTTTGTAACTCATTTTTTGCATGGCAATATTGCTTTTGTCTGTGTGAGAATAAACAGGAAAGCCACGTTTCTTCATAATCTGGTCTTGTGAATAAATAACAAAGGAGACAAGACCTTGCTCTCGATACTCAGGCACGGTGCCTCCCATTCTCATCTCTCCAGTTTGGTCCATTAGGGTCCAGGATGCAGGAGTCCCTTCAGGCCCCAGGACACAGGAACTTGGGAACTTCTTTATACAGCGTTCAATGAATCTATGGCTCCGCTCATTGCCACCAAAAAGCCAGAATTTATTCACCAAGGCAGCATGAGTGATATCCAAGGATGAAAGTTTAAACATGTCTTGATTGCTATAGAGGGTCCAAAAGGAAAGCAAAGCCTGTTAGTATAAGGGTATAGTCTGTTCCTACCTCTATTTATCTTGAAGGGCAGAGCATTGAAAACATCAAATGCAAAGTCCTGGAGGGACTTATGCTGGGAGGGGAAGAAGGCCAGTGTGGTAGGAGAACATGAGCAAGAATAATAAATGTCAAACAGTGAACAGAGGACTTTACTTTTACAATAATATGAACAAAGAGAAACCTGGTCAGATTTATACTTTTGTAGATTATTCTGATCACTTTTAATTTCCATTCTTAATTTATTTAATGACTTTTTGTGTGGGGATGAGTAAGAGAGTACGGATGTACATGGACTGGGGATTAGAGAAGAACCTGTAGAGATGGTTCTCTCCTTTGACCATGTTGGTCCCAGGTATTGAGTTCAGTAGATCAGTTAGTCAACCATGGCCATCAAAGTCATTACTTGATGAACCATCTTGCTGGCAATATTATAATTCAAACTTTTAAAAAGTTTTTTATTTGATAATTCCATGAGTATATGTCACAGATGTTAGTTTTAATCACTTTTAACTACCTTCATTCTACTGTCCTCACTCTATTGAAGCTCTGCCCAATAAGTTCTTCTTTCATTTCCTTTGTGCGTGTAGTGTAACCAACTGAATATAAATAGAGTGGCTTGCATGAGCATGGGTGGGGTCATCTACAAGAGTGTGGACAGCAAGGACCAGAGTAAAATCAGCATCAGACAGTGGGGCTGTAGAAGAAAGATGTGAAAGATATATAACAACTTTGATCAAACTCACATGGCCTTGGGCAGGCCACTACCCGGAGGTAAATTCTTTGGATCCAGCATGGCAGGAAACAGTTTCTTGATTGTCTCTGATGTTGCAAAGAGGATGTTTTCTGAGCGGTTGACTTGGAAAGACTGAATGTTTGCAATATTTTGTATCGCCTCATTCAGGCGGGACTGGGAACCTAAATGGGTTTATAAGAAAACATTGTGAACTTCTAAGCAGAGAGGAAATGGCTAGATACGTTCTGGGTGGGGCCTCTCCAATGGGGTAGAAAGTGTGAGATTTAAGGTAGAATTTGATTATTCTCGTGTTGATGCTGTTGTGTGAACGGCCATATAGTCATGGCTGACAAAATGTTCCCTGTTTTACAAAAATGAAGACATGACAGGGAATGAATTAATTCATAATCATTTTGTGAACAAACCAAGACTGGAACTAAGTTTTTAAGCTATATAATTGTGTAGTTTTGATAATCAAAGAGAATGAGCTATAAAATATGGTAGCCAGCTTCTTCTGAGTCATGTACCCAATATAGTGGATTATTGAAGCAAGGATTTGGAATTTAATTTGCTGCATCTGTTCCCTGGAGTAGTTTATTTCTGTACCCCGTCTGATCAATAGGCATATAAACTTATACAAAAAGAGGTTTAACGGTATTAGACCTTGAGACTTTATTTATTATTTATTGATTGATTGATTGATTGATTGATCCTAGTTACCTTGAGACCAACTGCATAGAAACTAGCGTAGGGTAGCTGGTCAGAGACACATTGTACCATCATCACAACCAATAGTTGGCATTGACTGACAGTCAGAACCACCAACTACACATGTGAATGAGCCTGTGGTGAAGCAACATGTATTGAGTTCTCCAAACAACATATGATACATGAACAAATCTAGTAGAGAAGAGTAATGAGCTGTCTGCAAAGCCCAAACTAAATTGTTGGTTCGCTTCATTATGAGTTTTCTATTACAGCAAATTTTAACTGACCTATTCCCCTGTTCTAGTTTCATACTGTGGCTGTTGAGAACACTATAATAAAACTCAACTGGGGATGGGAGGATTTATTTGACTTATACTTCAAGGTCACAAATTGTGGACATCTGACTGAGGACATGGAACTTGGCAGGGAGAGCATGCAGATCTTGTGAGACAAGAGACAGAAGGGATTGATCTCATTTCCCATTGTTCTTACTTTGAATCTGCAAATGTTGTTTCCAGTTGACTACTTCTGGGGAGTCCAGGAATTCCTGACAGTTCTGGGGATCTTTAGAGAAGATTTGGTAAGTATTGGTGTAGAAATCATGGTCATCTGCCATGTCCTGTTATCATGGAGAAAGGAGAGATAATACTTATTGCTTCTTGTTTATGATTGCAGTGCTAGTTATATTATACATTCATATCTTAATTTTTATTTTATTATTTTATTATATGGGTGTTTTTCTTGCATCAGTATCTGTGTATCACATGCATGTGCTTGATCTCAGGGAAGCAGGAAAAGGGCATTGGATCTGTTGGAACTGGAGACACAAATGATGGAAGCCATCATGTGTGTGCTAAGAATTAAACTCAAGTCCTCTGGAAAAACAGACAGTCCTCTTAGCCATTAGGCCATTATAGACTGTGTTTACACAAACTAAAATGGTTACAATGTTATCAGGAGATGTACTAAGCATGTGTGTGTGTGTGTGTGTGTGTGTGTGTGTGTGTGTGTGTGTGTGTTGCACATGTAAGCAACTACACATAGAGGTCAAAGAAGAACCTTCAGGATCCTTCCTTAGGTATCATCCTTTTTCTTCAGACAAGGTCTATCATTGGCCTGGAACATGCCTAGCAAGCTAGTAGTCTGATTAATAAGCCCCAAAGATCCATCCATCCTGTCTCCCTAGCACTAGGGTTACAAGCACATATCACCATATAAGACTTTTTCAAGTGGGCTCAAACTTTGACCCTCATGCTTCCATAGCAAGTACTGTACCCACTGAGGTCTCATCCCAGCCTAGGCAATGTAGTTTGATGGGGTCATTGCCATACATTTGGTCCATCACAAATTGAAATGTTAATGTGTAACATATGTGTATGCATATATGTGTGACATGTATAAACCTGACTAATTAAAATATACAACAGTGAAACTTTTGGTATGAACATTTTACATCTCTCTCACCATTTTAAGAATATAATGTAATTAGTTGTCATACTATACAATAGGTCTCTAACATATTCTTCCATTTTAACTGTAATTTTGTATCTTTTCATGAGCATTTTGTCTATTTCCCTTAACACCCAATCTCTAGAAATTACTGTCAAACACTTGTCTTCTACAGGACCAACTCTATTTTTTGAGATTATACTATAATTACTACCTTTTCCCCTTCCCTTTCCTCTCTCCAAAACCTCCCATATACTTCTCCCTTCTCCCTTTCAAATTCATCACCCCTTTTTCCATTAATTTTTTATAACACGTACATAGGTATATGTATATAAATGTATATTCCCAAATATAATTGATGTGGGATTCCCCTCTGTTTGCTGTGGTTACCATCAGTTAATAAAGAAGTTGTCTTTGGCCAGGCAGGGTAGAATAGAGGCAGGCAGGGAAAACTAAACTGAATGCTGGGAGAAAGAAGGAGGAGTCGGCAAGATGCCATGGAGCCGTCAGAGGGGAAAGATGAGAGCTGCCAGCTGGAACCTTGCTGGTAGGTCACGAGTCACATGGTAAAATATAAAATAAGAGAAATGGGTTAACCAAATATATAAGAGCTAGCTAGCAATATGTTTAAGTCATTGGCCAAGCAGTAATTTAAACAATATAGTTTCTGTGTGATTATTGTGGGGTCTGGGTAACTGGGAACGAACAAGTAGCCTCCCACAGCATATAATCTGGGATAAAATATTTTAGATTTTACATGAATAATCATAGAAGAATACTTGTTCACACCTGGCTCCTTACCTTTTCCTGAGGTCGGACAACCACTGTGTTAAAATCAGGCCACTTGTCAACGATGGCTTTTAGGTTGAATGGGTTTCCATGGATCATGTGAAAGACGGTCCCATAAACCTGAAAGGAAGCGAGACAGTTAGTTTATTAAAGATGAACCAAAAAGCACCTTGTGTGGTCTGGATGTAGACATTCCAATGAAACTGTGACAGTTGGTGATGACAAAGAGCCAAGGACAAATCTAGGACCAACAATATCATTCACTACTTTTTTCTTCATGGATATTCTAGGCTTCTCTTGGAAGAAAATGTGTGCTTTAGCGTGTGAGTAAAGAGTTAAGTATTCCCTTCTAAACAATAGAGAGCAACCTCATCTCACTCCATGGGCTCTGCAATACCACTGGGAAACACCCAGATTTTTCTCAAAATGCTTGACATTCACTTTTAACATAAGGAATAGGAAAATTACATTTTAATATTCGATTTCAGAGAGTATGTAAAAATAGCTTTTAGCCTTCAGAATTTCTGAAAATAGTTGTTCAACATAAAAATAACTCAATGTAGGTGTCCATAAAGTGTCAAATGACATAATTTCCAGGAAAAAAATTAAATTTTCTTTCTCCCTGAGAGATTTCTTGACTCCTGTGGATTGCCAGGGCACATAAGAAGATCTTGGCTCTTATCAGTGGGCTTTACTAAAATGTGTTTTTTCATTTTAGTTTGATTTGAAACAGATTTATTTGGGTGGTAAATAATAGGATTGTTTCCTCATTAGCCTTTTATTATTAAATAAAACAAAACAGTCTATAAATGAAAGAATGGTAATATTTTTCTTCTTTATAGAAGGGAGTAGAAAATCTGTTAGAGAAAGTAAGAACTGAGGGCTGGAGAAATGGCTCGGCCATTAAAGGCTAGGCTCACAACCAAAAATATAAGAGAAAGTAAGAACCGAATCTACTCACTTTGTCTTAAGTAATTTTGTAGAAAATGTCTTATAGAGTGACACAAATCTGGAACTATTTTTCCTCTAAGCCACACACATGCAATCACACAAGCACCAACATTCATATATTCACACACAAACATGGGCACCAACACACACAGAAATATACAAATAAATGAAATACACATGAACTATTTTATACACATACAACTACTCACACAAACATACATACACACAGAAATACATATACAAACATGTGCATATATACATATATGCTATGGGACAATCTTTGTACACAATGAATATGTATTACTCTCATTGGCTAATAAAAAAGATGATAGCCCGATAACTGAGAAGGAAAAGATTGAACAAGAGAGCCAGACTAGAAGAATTCTGGGAAGATGAAGGGTGGAGTCAGAGGAGTCACCAGTCAGATGTGGAAGGAATTGGACACACAAAATGAGATAGAGGTAAAAGCTGCAAGCCTCAGCACAGCACAAAGGTGAAGAGAAATGTGTTAAGTTGAAGAGCTAGTTAGTAAGAAATCTGAGCTATAGGTTAAGCATTTATAACTAATGTAAGCCTCAGTGTGTTTATTTGAAACCAAGTGGTCAGGACAGGAAAACTCCACATATATACATTCATACATATGTCCATACATACACCACCACAAGTGCACACGCACAGCACCCAGAAAACATACACATAAACTCTTGCATACAGATAAACACACATAACTATGCACACAAACACACATATACAGCACACACAAACATGGTTATACTTAAGCTCCACTGGAGTGAACCTCACCTCATTTGATAAAAAAAACATCAAGGATCTGAATCTACCATTAGAGATGCCTTTACACAGCTCACATGTTAGCATTTGTATCTATTGACACAGTTTAGTCAACTCTAAGGTCTCTACTCAGTTGCACTGGGTTTGTGGGGGGAAAAAATGGAAGCCAAGTCCAAAATATTCTGATATGCATTAAGTTCAGACCCGTTTCTAACTTCAAACACACTCAAGATGGTTCAATTTTCACATGGAAGCATTCTTCTGGAATGCACAAATTAAACATTACTAGGTACCCTCAACTAAATGTGAAGGAAAACCCCAGGGAATCTCAAGTGCTGCTAAGAATTTCAAGTGCTTGAAAAGAAGCAGCAGAGGGCAAAGTCCATGTGTGCACATGACTGTGGTACAACTCATTGCCTTTGAGACATGGAGAAGTAGATATCCCTACATATTCTTGCATTTTATTTATGTATTTTATTTGTGGGGCATCCATGAGTCACAGCGTGTATGTGGAGGTCAGATGGTAACTCTTAGGAGTTAGTTCTTTTCTGTCACCAAAGGGGATCTGGAGATCAGACCTAGGTTGTCAGGCTTGCAGGCAAGCACCTGTCTCTTGAGAAGTTTTGCCTACCACAATGCTTAAATTACTTCTTTACATCACCACAGTCTTTTCTATGATGGTTGAGTCTTACACTATGTATCTCTGGCTGACCCAGAACTCATATGTAGATAGGATGACCTCGAACTCACAGAGAACCACCTGCTTATTGGCTTCCAAGTGCAGAAATTAAAGGTATGCACTACCTCACCTGACTATATCTCCATATTCTTAACTAATGACACAGATATAGTGGCAATATATTGAAAAAGGTTATGTAAATTAAATTGGAAAAATATGAAATATGTATTGGCTCAAAATAATATTGCATAGGATCTGGGAAGATGGCTCAATGGATAAAGCACTTACCACACAATAAACTCCACAGACAAACTCCAGTTCAAAATTCTCGTTCCCAGTACCCACACAGTGCCTAGTAGTGTTGACATCCTGCTTGTAATCCCAATGCTTGGAAGGCATAGTCAGGGGAAATTTCCTGAACAACCTGACTAGCTATACTAGTGGAATTGGTCAGCTCCAGGTTCACCAAGAGACCCTGTCTTAACACATAGGGTGAAAAGTGATCAAGGAAGACACTGAACATTAACCTTGAGCCTCTTCATGCATACACATATTCTATTCATGCATGTACACACTACACACACATCAGTCATACCAAACACATGAACACACACCACATGTGCATGCGCACACAAACAGTGAAGCATAAAAGTTAGACTCTTTTTCACTTCCACTTTCTCCTTGTTGGCCTTCACATTTTCTGAGATCACCTTTAAGGATTCAGGAAGATACTTCCTCAATGATCTCTCCAGCATCTGCAGCATTTGTGCACCTTGCAGTGTGACAGCCATGAGGACACTTTACCTTGGAGAAATAATAAACGGACATTCGTTAATGACAGAAATAACAGTAGTCAGTTCTGTATGATTAGTCAAATCTTTCATTCACTAACATTCTCACCAGCCCTAAGGAAGCACTGGGCTTGCAGGAGGAACACAGGAGTCTCTCTAACCTTCGCAGTTTCTCATCTCATCATTGGATTCAAATTACATTAACAAGTGCATTTTATTCTTTTGAGTTTCCAGTGTGCTGTTGTGTCTCCTGGCATCTCCAGTAATGGTGTTACTCAGGAAGTTGCCTAGCCTCTGTGCTTTGATTTCTTCAAAGGTAGATGGAATGATAGCATCATTGGGCTCATAGAATGTTTGTGGAGCTAAAATTAGATTGACTAACATTCAATGTGTTTTGGTAGAGAGCTGGTCATATAAACAATATTCAGCCAGGCTATTTATTTTCTTGCTAATGTTTCTCCTTCTCTTCTTTCTCCTCACGTGAGTTAATATTGCATAATATCTTGATGAAAATGTTTCATTGTAAAATACTTTGACATTTTTAGATATAAGTAATAAAACTTTATAACCAAGTCATATTCCAGCTTCTGTTTTTAGCCTGTTGTTGTTTTGTGCCTTTCTTGCACAGTTCCCTCTCTAAGCAAATTCTTGAGTAGCACTGAGCAACTTTTAATTGAACTCTGGAGTTGCTGACCCTGCCATGCCAGAAATAGAAATTAATCTGATGAAAGCAGTTTAAAAGAACAGAACAGAATTTTTAAAAGCTATACAAACACAGGTACATGCTAAATAGAACTTCAATGTTTATGACTAGGGAAAGAAAACATAAAATCCAATATAGCAAATATTATAACTTTAAAACATTAACACCATACCTACAGGCATGATATACAGTGAATATAGGTACAGGATTGTGGGAAGTGGGCATAACATTACTATTAAAAATACAATCAGAACAAATAGCTCACAAAATAGCTTCTAAGTAACATGCAAAGGATGAGTTTAAAAGAAAGCATAGGTAAATTCAAAACTAGTCTTCAGATGCAACTTGAGCATAAACTAGTCTGTGGTAGTAGTCTTCAGATGCAACCTTGAGAATACATTTTTCTTGCTATCTGATTAATAAGTGGCATCACCATGGGGTGTATTCTCGCTACCTTCTTACCAGTAGTGAACAGAGAAACCCAAGTACCTTGTAATACAACTGGAAAGACTGAGAACAGAAGTGCAGTACCTCCACACAGTAGATTCTATATTCACCCACTTCCAAAAACCAGAAAATACTACCTCATTACTGCGTAGAAGAAATATCTAAAGATTTTTCACTATGCTTGACAAACTACCTTTTACAGAATACGTGTATGCTATATGTTTCTTCAAGAGACATTACTATTTTTCCCTTAGGTATTTTGGGTACATATTCTGAGAGTCATTCAGTACAATCATTTTGATATCATTTATTTGAGATGAGGAAAATGCTAAAAAGCAATAATGATCTTTTACAAACCATGTTGTTTTATATATTTAATGTATACCATGTGATTTTGTAGAACATACACACAGTGCATAGCTTTATATTAAATTTGCAGGTGCTGGGTATGTGTGCATGCTGACAGAGTGAAGCAATTAACATAGTCCATTATGTCAATAGGTATGGAGAATTTTGTTTGTTTGGATGCTCTGTGAGCACAGCTGATACCATGGGCTAGGGAGATGATTCTGCAGGCAGAGGAACTTACTACACAAGCTCGGTGATCAGAGTTTGATCTCCAAAACCCACATAAAGGTGAAAGGAGAAAATCAGCTCTTCAGAGTTAGCCACTGTCCTTCACAAAAGGGCTGTGGTACACATGCTCCCAATATAAATTAATAGATAGAAAAAGAGATGATGAGGATGATGAAGATAGATAGATAGATAGATAGATAGATAGATAGATAGATAGATAGAAAGATAGATAGAGAGAGAGAGATACTTTAATGAACAGTTAAGACCTACTCGTCATTTATGCATCCCACAAAAACATTTTATGACCCAAAGTTCTTGTGTTGTTCATTTGGCCTCCAGACTCTTTCATTCCACAGATCTACTACTCTGAGACACATCCTCACCTGGAAAGCTGTCTCCACAAGATGTATTTGTAAAAGTGGACTTCTGGGAGGTGAAAGACCCTTCCGAGGCAGCAGTCTCAGTGGGAATCTGAAGAGTGAGTGAACGTTGATGTGTCTCTTGCAAAAATTAACTGAGTTGGGGCTAGAAATGTGGACCTTGCACTCGGCACGTTTACAAAAACTTCTTGTTAGCTCCAGTGAAATCTAACCCTTCCCTCCTTCCCTGGTCTCAGGCTGTAGGAACTGGCTCTGCAAGATGAGGCTAACATTTGCTCTCTGAACTTCTCTCTTGTAAACATCACCTTGCTCTTTGCCCCACTTGCCATTAGTATGCCAAACAAAGGTATAGTAGGCCAGCAGAGTGGGAAGGAAGAGTTAGGTGAGCAATATCCTCTTCCTCCCCATTCTTACCATCAAATATCAGCAACAGCACAAAACAGGAAGTTTGATTTATAGTGCTCAATATCATATCTTTTTTTTAAATGCATGACATAAAAGAAAATGACTTTCCTGCAGTGTTAGAGCAATACGAATCCCTTTCTCATAGTCTTTTTCTGCTGCTGGAAACCATTTTGTGTTCTTGGTCTGTGCTCCCTCAGGAGGCCATATTTATGCCCATGGTCTGGATCACCACCAAAGGTCATGTGAATGCCCCTGGTCTGTGCTGCCGCCTGAAGTGCTGCTGATGTCTAAGGCCTGTGTTGCCACTGGAGGCCATATCGATGTCCATGGCTTGTGCTCTGGTCAAGGACCATAATGGTGCCAGTGGTCCAGACTGTAGCCAAGGATTGTATTAATGTCTGTGATCTTAACTGCTGCCAGAGACCATGCTGAGGTACGTGGTCCATGCTGATGGATGCTGGAGGCCATGTGGATGTCTATGGTACCTGTACTATTTCCAGAAACCCATGTGTAAGTTCATGATCCATGCTGCCACTTATTGGAAATGTCAAGGAAGTTTCTGCTGCAGTGGTATCTATGACTGCAGACTTACAGTTGAGAACGAGAGACATAGAAGACTGCTGCAGCATCTGTCTCCCCCACTCTTCCCCCAAAGAAACAGTCTAGACAGAAAGTCATTGAGGAGAACTCTTAATCTCACTTTTACGGAAACAGAAACTGGTGGCTACTGTGGTGAATATAGAAAAGCATTCAGTACAGACATCTTTTATTCTTTTATAAATTCCACAAAAGGGCTGCATTATGCTATTGCCATGATGTATAGGATATATTTTGACTTTCCATAGTAGTAAATGATATGCTGTATCTGCCTCCTCTATAACCCTTTCCTATCTCCTCTCATTTTACCCTCTTTTCTCTTCTAAATCTCTTAGAATACCTCTATTTTCACTTTATCTTTCTTCCATACGACAGAAAATATGTGATGCTTATATACATGAGCCTGCCTGCTCCACTGATGATCCCATTCAGTTCTGTACATTTTCCTGTAATGCAATTTTATTCTTCTTTGTCACTAAACGATGCTCTGGTGTGTGTGTGTGTGTGTGTGTGTGTGTGTGTGTGTGTGTGTGTGTGTATGATTTCTTCCATCCGTTTGTCCACTGATGGCTGCCTACCATGATTCATACTTTGGCTATTATGAAGAAGTAGTGAAGTACAGGCATGCAGACATCTCTGTAGTAAGTTTTGATTCTCTGGGTATGGTCTTAGTATGGATGAAACACATGGTACTTTTAATTTCTTTCTATAACATTCCATTGAGTTCTACAGTATCTGAACTAGTTTGCATTGCACCAGCAGTGTCTAAGGGTTCTTTCTCTGCTTCACTGTTGACAGAATTTTCTGTCTGAGTTCTTAAGGCTAGACATTTTGACTGGAGTGAGAAGGAATCTTGATGCAATTTTGATTTTCATACAACACTTATTAACATTTGATCCACCTTTTTAAGGACAGACAAGGTTTATTGGGAAGTTATTTTAAGTCCCAACTTTGCTATATGAGACAACTAAGGGAAGAAGTTTGACAGGCTCCAGGTTCTTGGAATCAGTACCATTTTCCCCGCTAGTCATGAGTTCTGCTAAGGAAAGAAGAGATGCTGAAACTGGAGAACCAGAGTAGATATTACCTACACAGAAAGTCAAAAGAACTTGAATGTTCCTTCAGTCAATGGACTGGCACTGTGTAAGCCTGCACATTTCTCTGTCTCATTTTAGGATTCTGATGTGGGATTTCCCTCTTTATGTCTGAATACCATTAATGAGTAAAAAAAACTGCTTTGGATCTATAGCAGGGCAGAGTTTAGGTAGGCTGGGGAAACAGAACTGAATGCTGGGAGAAAATAAGGGCTGAGTTAGCTAGAAGCCATGGAGCCACTACCAGAGACAGATGTGCTGAAACTTTGCTGGTAGGGCCACGACCTCGTGGTGACACTCAGATTCATGGAGATGGGTTAAATTAATATGTAGGAGTTAGCCAATAAGAAGCTAGAGCTAATGCGCCAAGCAGTGATTTAAATAATGCAGTTTCTGTGTGATTATTTCAGGGCTAAGCTAGCCAGGCAGCCAGAAACCAACAAGCAGCCCCCTCTTTAACAGGGTTCTGCATTTCCTTGGCACATTAATTCTCCTTCCCATCACTTGGGGTTTGAAGCCACTGTGATTAACCTTGACTTTATCTTTAACATAACTCCGTTGAACTGTTTTGATGCCATTTACAGGGTAAACACATGGACTGCATAAATCACAAAGGCTGACTACAACAGAGGAAAGGGGTCCTCCTTTACCCCAACTATAGAAGCAAACCCCTCCTCTTCTGTCTTCTTCATCCCACTTACTTAAACATACAGCCAGTCAAAAGACAAGGAATGTGTCTACTCTCCTCTTTCCAAGGGCAAGTTTCTTAACTTCTTTGATACTTGGGAGGGAGATGTGTTGAAGTGGGGGTAAAGGCAGCTGGAGGCAGTGGGGGTATATATGATCAATTAATATTGTATATATAAATGCAGTTCTCAAAGAATAAACACCCTTGTTGGCATGGGTGTGGGAAAGGAGGAACTATTCTGCATGACTGGTAGGAATGTTGATTGGTACACCCATTATGAAAAATTGTATGAATACTTTAAAAGAAATTTAAAAACAGAACTATCATGCTATCCATAAATACTTCTTCAGGGCATCTATACAATGAAGACCACCCGATCTTTACTTCATGAAGGCAAACTCAATGTGGGGCAATTCATAAATTGTCAAGATATGGAAATAACCTAAATGTTTGTAGATGGACAAATGGAAAAAGAAACTATGGCATGAAAAAATATATACCACAGTGTAAAAATATTATCCTTGACAAGAACAAGTTCTTACCAATTTCTGTAAAGTGAATGAACTTGGGTAATATATCAGTTAAGATAAACTAGGCAGAGAAAAACTAACACGTGAATTCACTTATATATGAAACTTAAAACAATTTTTAAAAACAGAAATAGAGAACAAAATGCTAGTCACGGAGGTTAGGCATGAGGTGAGAAAGATAGTATGTGTGTCAGAAGATTACAAAATTTCCCTCATGTTGATAAGAAAATGTGGAGATCAACTTATAACATAAATATCAAAATAGCAATGAACTGTATATGAGATTTAGACTAAATGGGATTGTAGATGCTCTTAATGTCAAATCAAAATATAGTAAATATGTGAGGTGATTGACTTGTGAAATTGATTCACTATAACAAACATTCTTGTTGTCTATTTTTTCTAAAACCTCATGTTGTACATATTTAAAACACACAATAAATTTTCTTAAAAATTAGTCTTCCAAGAACAAGTGCAGTTCCTCCAACACCAGTACATAGGTGCAGGCCTGTGTGTCTTTGGGCTAGAGAGTCGGATGCCCATCTTTGGGTCGTAGTAGTGGTTGTAGTGTTTATTACCTGGGAGTGAATTAAAAATGGGGGATTTGAGAAAGGCAAGAAGAGTTTTGTTCAGAAGTGTGTCCAGTGTCACACCATGGAAAAGGGAGGCAAAAATAAGACTGGATCAAATCTCCGCGGTCTGTTTGGGAGGAAGACGGGTCAGGCGGCTGAATTCTCGTACATAGATGCCAACAAGAACAAAGGCATCACCTGGGGAGAGGATGCCCTGATGGAGTGTTTGGAGAATCCCAAAAAGTACATCCCTGGAACAAAAATGACCTTCGCTGGAATTAAGAAGAAGGGAGAGAGGGCAGACCTAATAGCTTATCTTAAAAAGGCTACTAATGAGTAACTCCACTGCCTTATTTATTACAAAACAAATGTCCCATCTCATGACTTTTAATGTGTACCATAATTTAATTCATAACCAAAATTCAGATCATAAATGGCTAACAATATTTTGTTGGACAGTTCTGATTTAAGTGAAACTGACTTACAGAAAAGTGAATATGATCTTTTATAAAAATAACAATTCCAGTTGCATAAACGTTATCATTGCTTTCCCTTTCTCAAAGTAAGATTAGACTAAATTATTAAAGATCTACTTTCCACAAAAATGGGGGTGTCACCTCAAACCTACTGAATATTTTTATACTGAAATTTATATAGCTGGGCATATGACTATGTTTAAACACTGGGGAAATTCTGTCAACATCTCAGAAACAAGAAGACTCGCCTGTGTTTCAGTTTGTACTCACTGGCCTGTTACAGGCAATGGCCAGATTCAGGAAGCAGCTGTCTAGTGACTCAATGATGCTTTAATTATAATTTCCTAAGTCAAAGGATGTTTCCTTTTACCACTGAAAGGCACTTACTGTGCTCTATGTATAATAGCAAATAAAGAGTATTTAGCACTTGCTAAAAAATTTGTCTTCCAGATACCATACCATACATTATAATAAATTCACTTATGAAATATTTATCATGGTTATTAAACAGAAAACACAGGTCTATCAGTGAAGTGTTCAGTCCAAAACACCTATTGATGAAGAGCACTCTAGCTCCTAAGTAAAGAAAAGAGTGTGAGAGAAAAGTGTGAGCTATCCACAAGTCAGCACCATATCCTGACACAAGAGATTGTGGACAACAGTCCACAAGAGGATAGTAATGTGCAGCTGCAGAGAAGTGTCACTGACATTCAGAGTGTAGAAAACTGAACAAAGCCGGTGGCTCAGTGAAGAGGTCTGGCCATGCTTCATC